AGGGAACGAGAATGTCTGTCTTCATTCTGTTCGCTCCCTCAGCTTCTGAACATGTCACAAAACAGAATGCTTTGGGTTATACTCTGTTCGGAAAGACACAGCATTGAAGAAATGAAAATAGAATTTATTCCAGTATTTGTTAAGCAATGTTAGGAGCTAAACAGGATGAGCTAAAGGTGATGCTGTAGGAATGAGAGCACCTTAGTCAATATAATAGAAGTATAGTGGGATGAGTTGTGTAACTGGAAATTTAACACAAAATACTACTTCTTGTTGGAATGAAGACTTGCTAGTGGTATTTCTGAAGGTTTTCACTAATTCTTCTGTTACTTTGCTAACATAATTTTTAAAGAACATTTATATTTTCATGTGGTAATTACCTTAAAGATTTGCAAGTACGTGATATTAAGATGGATAAAGAATAGACAAAGCAGCATCGAATGTTAAACACAATGTGAGCAGCAAAAGTCTGGTCATGTAAGTACCATAACAGAATAAGTTGCATCACAACTATAGTATCACAGTTAGCTTTCTTTTGTGTTTATCTGCTCACCTCTTAGCAGTAGGATGAAATATTTTAGGAATACTTCTTACTTTCACTTTTAAAGGCATTCATGCAGATAGTAACCTAAAGCATTATGCTTCCCTGACATACTCTGATAGTGAAAGAATGAGCAGTGCAAGTTCAACCATCCTCATTCCCCTGCTTTCTCTGTTGGTAACTACAAGGATAAACATACATGGTACAGATTTACACTTATCAGATCTTTAGGAGTTTGTGGAACATAGGAACCTGAAGGAATTGGCTCCTAGAGCAAACAAAAAACCCCAAACCTCATAGATCCTCCAACTGGCACTTGTTTGAAAAGTCCTTCAAAAGTAGCCATTACAGCAGCTCAAAATTACTGAAACAAAAAGCCTTCCATTCATCCCTAAAACAAACTCAGTTCCAGTAGGAACAGAAGGTAGGGAATAGGCATGAAGGTCCTCTCCCATGCCAAGGTATTCCCTTAATTGCTTACTTAAGTGACACTTTTTCAGCTATGCAAAGGGACTGAAGTGTTAGCCAGGTTCTGTCCATAGATTAAAGATGTGTTAGACAACTTGACCTGGGTCTGAATATATATTATTATTCTGAAACACTTAATATTATTTTGTCCATTCTAGTTTAACATATACCCCCCTATATATTGCATCTATTGTGCAATTACCTTGTTAGATGTACAATTAATTTACATTGGCCACATGTGCAAATTAACTATTGCACCTTAAAAAGGTCAAACCATCTCTCAATTTATTGCTTGAAAATGTGTAATAACTTTATAGCTGGTTTCTGTCCAGTTTTATTTGCTGTATAGGTAGTGTGGGGCTAGGAAACCACAACTGCTGTGATCTCTCAGGTGCTGAGGGCACCATGCACCCCTCGGGCTGGGAGACGGCAGCCAGTGTGTTCTCCCAGACACAAGGGTATAAGGGGTCTCCAGGCAGCAGCTGGGAGATTTCAGCTGCTGCAATCTTCCAGCTATGGGGCTCTCCACACACCCCTGCAGCTGGAAGACTACAGAAGTGCCCCAAAACTGCAGGGGCTGAGAGTCCCACAGCTAACAGGGCTCTTTGTCCACGCATTCTTGTCTTTCTTGCTGTTTTGAACCCTAGAGTCTCCTTTTACATTACAATGTCATGAGTTGACCATTACTAAATACTTGCATCTTTTAAACTGTAACTACACTGACAATACATTTCAAACCTTATAATATGCAAGAAAGGAAATGCTAGCAATGGTTGACTCTCAATCAAGAGCATTGTAAGTCACTTTAAATGCATCTTTGGATTATCATGAGTGATCAAGGGAGCAACAGATGAGGCATGCTATAAAAAGAAATAACTAAAGGGGCATGGTATTATAAAATAGCTAGCTATGACAATGATAGTTCACCAATGACAACTTGCACTAAAATTTAAGTGAGGCTATAAGGTGTCTCATTTAAAAAAAAAAAAAATAAAAAATAAAACAGTTAAAAGATAGGTGTACACAGAGCACTGACTGGTGTTTTACGTGGATTAAACAGTGTTGGGATTTCTCCCAAAGGTGTAATCTTATTTCATTATGAAGAAATCATAAAATTGGTTTGAAAACATGTTGTAAATAAAATTTAAATTTAATACAGTCTCCGCTGTGGACATCTCGTAGATGATCTTTATAAAGTAATTTCTTTGTCAGTCTCTCCTGGTTTCTTCTCTGCAATTTTTTATGGCAGACAGGGATCAGTAACATACTTTAATCAGCATATAATACTTCTAAAATGATGATTACTAGAACAGTAAAGCATCTTGCATAAGGGATGTAAGTTAGTTGCCTGATCCTGAAAGCACTGTTTAATGCAAGTCGTTTGGGGACCAAATGAATACGTGCCCAAAGCTTTGCAACAGAGAAAAAGTGAGAGTTGCGGTAGGCTTTTTCCAAGTGGAAGGAAACATAGAATATTGAATGTTTAATATTAAAAAGGAGGCTAGATAATCACCTAGCTGGGGTCATATGATACTAGCATTCATTCTTGCTGATGGCAGGGGGTCGGACCTGATGATCTGCTCAAGTCCCTTCCGACCCTAACAACTATGAAGCTTGCTTCAGTCAGTATTTGTAGAGGGCTTGGGGTAACTAGCTCATTCACATAGGCTCTCAGTGTCCTTTTACAGGCTCGTAGCCTCCGCTAATTGTTCATAGTTCCTGGGGCAAGCTACCTCCTGGTAGGAGTCAACCAGCATGAGCATGTATCACCATGCAAATAATAACATGTATTCTCTTCCCAGACCACCCAGTTTACTTTAACCATATACATAACTTCCAATGCACTCACGGTCTCTGGGCAACTCCCTGGAAAAATGCACTACAGGCAGGCTCCTGTGCTGACCCACCAGCTTTCTCCCTCTGGGCTCTCAGCTTCCAGCTCCAAAGGTGCTTAGCCCTCCACTCCCAGCTGTTTGCCTGCCTTTACTCTCTGGCCCTCAGGTCTTGACTATCTTCCTGCTTTAGGCTCCTCTCTCTAGAAACCTAACTCTTCCATCATGATTCCTTCCCTGAGAAGTCTCTTTCTACCTGACTCCTTCCCTGGGTGCCCTCCAATTCTTTCCAGAAGTCTCCCTGTGGCTTCCCTCCTTGGGAGCCTTTTGATTTCCTAGGACTGCTTCACATTTCCCTCAGCTGGCTCAGTCCTCCTGAGCTGTCTGTAATTAGGGTTACCACTTACAGCTGGCTGGACCCTATGCAGACTGCTCCTAGGCTCTTTGAGCTTGCAGCCTGCTACAGTGTTAAACATACAATGGTCATGAATTTTAACATTTCAGTGAGCTTCAATATGACTTACCTAGACCTTTCCCAAGAAAATGACGGTTTATTTTCAAAATATGCAGTATTTATAAGATCCCATAAAATTTTTAATGCATGCGTATAAGTGTTATGATATATACAAACCAAAGTAAAATGTAAGATTCCAGGATTTTCAGACATAGAAGAAAATATGCTTCTGTAAAACTTGTTAAATTTGTTAAATTTTACATACGTACCACTGAAACACTCTCACCCCCAGGGGGGAAACAAAATAATTAGCTACACAGTTATACTGCAACTAAAGTAATAAATATTATCCCATTTGACCCTGGTATTTCACAACTGGCTGCCACATAAAAGGAGGCTACAACAGTTTTTATAGGCTCTAGACCTCAGAAGGGCTTTTTCTAGCTGTCAATCAAGGCTTTGGGAATCTAAGTTCTTTCCTTCTGTCACATCATCATCATCATCAAACATGATTTTGCAAGCTAAATATTATGCTCAATCATCTGTGCAACCTTCTTGTCACCAAGTTACACTTGACACATGTGAAATCTGATTGCCTTCTAAAGATTTTAAATGCATCCTTTGATAAGAGCTGACACGGAGAGCTGCACAAGTAAACAATGATATTGATGATACACAAAAGCAGAGAGCATGGACGAGCTCATTCCCTTATACTATAGCTAGGCTGGATAAACAAGAGTAACAAATAGTAAACACTTAGTTTTTGTTATTGCAGATAGAAGATATAATTGAATAAAAAGAGAATGTAAACCAGGTAACTAAGATCACATATTACCTTTCTACCCAGAGAATCACCATTTTTTCTAGTAGAAATGACAAACATACAAATGTTCATACAATTTCTCCTGGGCAAACATGCCCCTTCCAGGAGAAAGATCTTCCAGGAAAGTTCTCCCTGCCCCACTTCCCAACCCTGGGGGCTTTAAATGAACCCCCTGTCAGTTGCCTAACATAATAGAGCTACATTTTGAGTCTATATTCTGAGTGCAGATTTGAGTCCACTGCCTCCAGAAATATTAATTAAGTGCTTTAAGTCTGGCATTAAGTAACAGCATTGTGGGAATAAAAGTCTTATGATAAGTATGAAATGACTGATTAACCATTACATGTACTCATACAAGGTAGTTGTATAAATTCTTCCTCTGCTGTGGGGATCAGTCCTATCTAACATAGCAGCCTTTAATTTCAGACTACCAACCCAACTTTATCCTTTCCTAAAAGTTACCTCCTCCGTGGGTTGACTTGGCTGTTGCTTCACCTTCCATGCAGCTACTGTTTTGCCAAAAATGTGCTTAACTCTAATCTCCCCCTCTCACACTGAGAAAGGAGAAACAAGGTATCCTACTTTTCCCTAGACAAAAGCAAAAGGTGTTTTCACTTCGAGTGTAGGTAACCGCCTTCCTGCCCAGGTAAAACATTTTACTTAATTGGCGCACAGAGCAGGTGAGATAAGACTTCTTCCTGGCTTTCTTTGAAAGAAATTAACACTTTCCCTGCCTAGGGCACTGTAGCCTTTAGTTATCCAAGGGCACACACCTGACTTAAGAAATATTAATTCTGATGACCTTCCTAAACTCAATTATGAAAAAATGCAATTTGCTTACCTACAATTGGCCCAGATATTTTAATTGAATATAAATGTCATAGTTTTAAAGTGCTGTGTAGCATAGGGACATAGAACTAAGGGATTTAGACACTTATGTCTAGTGCAGTTCTGAGTTCAGAGCCCAGGATCCTTAGTCAGTAAGGGGAGTGTCATAGAATCATAGAGAAGTAGGGCTGGCAGCAACCTCCAGAGGTCATCTAATCCTGCCCCTTGCCTGAAGCAGGATCATCCCTATCCAGTCCATCCTGTACAATCTAAAATCTACATAAAACTATCATCAATCCTGACACAACACAGTCCTAACACCCTAACACACCACAGGTAAGGCAGAGGAACCACAGAAGCCAATGTCCTGCTTCTATGAAATGTTGTCAATATACACTTAAGAAATCCTGGGTAGAGAGCTACATGCCTCCATACAGAAGAAAGAAGAAAACCCCATGGTCCACACCAATATGACCATGGACCATGGACCATTTGTTCACATTGAACTTCATTCTGTTAGCTCTAGCCCAATTTTACAATCTGTCAAGATCTTTCTGAACTGTACTTGCATCCTCCACCACATACACAGTCCTTCCCAGTTTCATGTCATCTGAAAACCTACTCAAGCATCCAACAAATAATTAATAAATACATTGAACAGCATGGGGCCCAAGACAGAAACCTCTCCCCCGGGACTCTACACAAAACCGGCTGCCATTCTAACATGAAGTTATTCATAATTACCCTTTGATTATGACTATTGAGCTAGTTATCTATCCACTGTGTAGTAGTTTTATCTAGCTTATATTTCTCCAATTTGTTTGTGAGAAGGCTTTGCAAGACCTTGTTGAAGTCCAGATACATTATTCCCACAGCATTCCTTTCATTCACCCAAGTAGTTATTTAGTCAAAGGAAGAGTTTGTTTGACACCATTTGTTTCACACCATGTGTTTTTCATAAACCTATGATGGCTGCTTGTGATCAACCCTTCTTCCTCCAGATGCTTGCAAATGGCTTTCCTTGGGATGTGCTCCAGTAACTTCCCAGGCATCAAGGTGAGGCTAACTGGTTTGTAGTTCTCCACATCCTCCTTCTTGCCCTTTTTAAAGAGGGGCACTACATTGGCCTTTTTACAGTTCTCTTTAACTGATCCATTTCCCACAACATTGTTTAGATCATTGCCAAGGGCTCTGGGATCTCCTCTGCCAGTTTCTTCAAGACCTCGGGATGAAGTTCATCCAGCCCCACTGACTTGAATTGATTCAGACCGAACAAAAAACTCTTTGAAAGTTTCTTTTGTTATCTCCTCCCTCAGCTTGCCCTCTTCCTTATCCAGAGAATCCTTATTAGGTGTCTGGCTGCAGTTAAATTTTTTTGTGAAGACTTTCTTCTTGGTGCAGTGGTCCCAGAGCCCCTGTCCTTGGGCCTTGTAATTCCTGCTCTCTAGGCTGCTGCCTCCTCTGCCTCATGCCTGTGTGTGTCCTCTCCTCTGCCTTTTCCTCAGCAGTTCCACTGTAGAGTGCTTGAAAGTTGTTGCTGACTTCAACATGCTGTCTTCAAATCTGGGATAATTATTCTTTGAGTAGTCATATGCTATCACTTTTCCACATTGCCCTTTGACCTCTCTAGTACCAGCCTCTTTTAACTCTTGTCCAAGTAATCTTCCTGGTCCCTGATGCAATGCAGTGTGGATACCCATGTTTTCAATCTTTGAATCTTCTCCTCCAGGGCAGGCACCCGCTTACATTTAGTACGGATGAAGTTCTTCTGACCCTATGGGAGGAACATGAACATGGCACATAGCACACAAGTCACAACAGCTCCCCTGGAGTCCATTTGTGCCTCCTTCTCTCCCTGGAGAACACTTATTCTGTAGGAGGGGAGGGGGAAGAGGCAGGTGGGGGAGAGGGAAAAAGACACACCACAAGAACCTGCATGCCAAACACCTGCATCAGAGCCCTTGCATATGCTCACATTCATATGCACAGTCTCCTGCTCCTTGGCTCCCACCTTGGGTGAACTCCTTAAACAAACTCCCTCTGCCTGTTCTAGCTCCACACATCAATTACCTAAACCAGTCCCATCCTGAGCAAGCTCTGACACTCAGTCACTCCAGATAGGGGAAGAAAAGAAAAAAGAAGAAAAAGAGAGAAAAGAGGGGGCCACAAAAAAAAAATCACACACACCACAGGGCTAAAAGGAAAAAAAAAGAAAAAACCCTCAAAACACACACCAGGTACTAAGCAAACGTTCGTGCATCAGTCAGCCACCATAAATCACTAACACAGAGAACAGCCTCTTCAAGGCAGTCCCTCATCTGAGGTTCTTATCCCAGAGCACCTACTCTCTGCTTAATCCTCATCTTGCTTAGGAAGATGAAAATGGATATAACAAAATCTAGCATACTGGGTGCATCCACACATGTGCCTGGCTGTGCAGTTGTTACTGCACAGTAACTGCCAGTACTGCGCAGTTCCAGCACCACACGGGTTGTTTCCAACCCTACTGTGCAGTATCAGTGAGCTACTGCACAGTAGCTCATTGTCACTGCACAGTAGCGGTGGCATCGTAGTTAGCGCCCGCTGATGCTACATCCCCGTATTGATGAGCTACGTCACTGTCGCTTTGCTAGTGCACTGCAGTGTCTTGTGTAGATGTGTCCACTGAGCATGAAGCCACATAAGCAGGACAGTAAGAAATGTCTAGAAAAGTTAGGTTTTAGGGAGACGTGTCCCTTCCCTTCTAATTAAAAGCATAGCCCTTCAGATGGATTTAGATGCCTAATCCAGCCCATTTTTACAAAATACAGGTACATGCTAGTAGCAAAAGAAGATCTATTTTTAATGATTAGTTTAGTTTGGTTTTAGTCTAGTTATTAGAATGCTTACCTTCAGTATGGGAAACGTAAGCACTAGCCCTATTCTGCCTGAGAGGACTTAAACCTAAATCTTTTCCTGTCTGAGAATGTGCCCTAACCATAAAACAACAGAACATTCCAGAATAGGGGCTCTTTTCATTCCTTCAGTTGGAACAGTTCCACTTTTCATGGAAAATTATTCTTTGGGATGCAAATTGTAAGAATGACTTAATAGAGCATTCACTTGAAAAATGGAGAAATGGATTCCATGGAAAAATGGATTCCATTCCTTCCTCTGATGAATAGTTACATATTTATATTG